ATTGTCGATGCAAATATATGAGGTAGAAAGTGTTGGAGGTCAAGTAAATTTCTTTTGATGTGTAACGGATATTGTCAAAGTTTAATAATCTAGTATGGTTGTCAAGAATAAGCATCAGGAGCAAAATGTCACAATTTAAAGTTATATTTAAGATGGGATTTATCTAACCAATAAAACCAACAATTCATGAGTAATTGTAATCTGAAGCACTTGCAAATCAATATGTCTAAAATTAAGTACAACCAGTTCATTCTAGACATGAACTGATGCTCTTTAGGTCTGTTTGATGCTCAGTAATAACTACATGCATAAGCATATAAAGTGCGCAGAGGAAATTGAATAACTATAGATATTGTAAAATAAAATGACAAAAAAAAAAGAGAAAAAAAAAACAACGTAAACATGTAATCACCTCATGCATTTATTTAATATCACATTAAGACCAAAATACCAACTGAAAGCTATTTGTACACTTTCGCCAAATACGGAATAAAGGCAAGACTGGGTTTGCTTTATGCAGCTCTTGTTAACATTTCCCAACAATTTATCCTCGGTAAACGTTTTTTTTATTTCCCTTTAGTAACTTCATTTTTTGAAAAAAAAAAATAAATAAAAAACAACAACAACGTTTGCATACTTCTAAATATCATCAAATGAAAAGACTCCAACTTCAGAATTTAAGCCTTATGGTTTTGCATCTTCAATATATTGTCCCTTTTAAAAAATTAATATAGTTAACTATAGATAACTATAGTTTTCTACAGTTAACAATAGTAGAATCTTTGATACTTTTATTTACTATGAAACTTAACTCTGGAACTTTTTTGAGATTTAAAATATCTTAAATTCGATAACAGTGATGTACAATTTGGAAATAATATGTTCTTACTTATACAAATAAAAGTTGCATATTTAAAATATATTTATAAATATATTTTATATAAAATATGTGTATGTATGAATTGAAGAACAAAAACTTTAACAATCTGAAATCAATTGAAATCAATAGTAAAAGACTTTGATTAACTCTTGTTAAAACTTTAATACTATAGTAAACTATAGTTAACTATAGTATTTTTTGTAAGGGATATCTCTGAATCTCTTTACTGATAAAGATATAGTAGGTTAAATGTTTTGGTTGATTATAAAAGGAGAACAGCAATTCTTTTTACCCATTTAGGCCCCAAGGTAGGATACCTAGACCGTAAATTATATTTATATCCATTCTCCAAATATTACATGTACATGTACAGTGTACCTCCGTTATTGAACATTTTGGAAGCAAACTGATGCAGGATGACAGTAAGTAATTGACTTTTTACAAGATTGTGCATCTATATCTCAAGGACTTAGTCCCTAGATCATGCTATTTTATTCATTTTATTCATCATAGTTTGAAAATGAATTTTATTTTTTAGACTGATTGATTATATATTGTTTAAGGTCCCATTCGGGGATTTTTCACTCATTTAGAGACATCACCATATTCCGGTGAAGGGCTTCAAATTTAAACTTGTACTCGACTCGGCACTCAGGGCCATTGAGCAGCGAGGGTTCTTGATCGTGCCAACGCCTACCGTGACACGGGGCCTTGGTTTTTAAGGTATCACCCTAAAGACCCGTTACTTTCACTTTCAATACCGGGCGCTTGGCGAAGGAAAAGTCACTTCCTATGTTTACGTCTTAGGTTTGACGCGGCGCGGTGAACGAGAATCGAACCTGGGCCTCCCGATCAAGAACCTACCACTAGGTTACCGTGACCGGTTTCTCTTTTAGAAAATTCTTCACTAATATACATCATTTGAAATCTAAATTGAATGTAAAATGCTTTGATGAACTGTTTGAGAATCATTTTTTTTAAGAATCATACAATCCCTGGAGGATAAACATAGAAAAAAATAAATCAAACTTTTTTTTTTTTACGTTTTTATTTATAGTCAGGAACATAAGTAAAAATTTTTTCACACAAATTTTTCTTGTATTTCATGAAAAGCTGATCAAGTCATAAATTAAAAGTTTCATTTGAATAACGTGTCTCTTTTCCCTTTTTTCTTGTCCACTTACAGTACTGAATATGTGCACGGTTAGTAGCAGTTAACTTGATGTATATTCCGATGATGATCATAAAAATTCCTCCGAAGAAAACTATACAGATAAGCATCACTTTGTGTTTCACATCCATACCAGTCCACATCGACGTATTTAACGTTATTCTTTCTGTTTATAAATGATACATATCACAATGAAAATGACATGTATAATAGTATAATTAAATGAAGAGAACTATTTATTCAAAATAAAAAAAAATAATAAAGTGTACATCATCAAAGGAAAGAATATTGTTAAAAAACCATGAACAGGAAGTATTGCAGATGCTTATTTGTTTCACTATGTGAGTTCTGTACATGTGATTGAAAGGAAACAAACGAACTGAGTCTTAAATCTCTTTTTAATTAGCTTTATCACTGCTCTGCCCCAACCTATATCTTGAGAACTGTTAGAGCTATGGTATAGATGTTTTGCACATTTGCTTGGAACTCTGGCATTTGTAAGATACCATGGTTACCTATTCAGTAACCATTGAACTTGACCTTTGGCTTACTTTTTAAAATAGCTCATTGTGCAGTTATAGAACATATCTTAGTCATTTAAGAGGTAAGTCTATGCTATTTAGCATATGTCTTGTTTGCCATAAAAACATTATGAAAAATACCAGCGTTACAGTCCATTTGACCTTTATCCTTGACCTTATTTGCAAAAATACTCTGTAAGATAGACTTAACTTGTTTTTTTTTTTTTGTTTTTTTTTTTTTTTTTTTTTTTTGTCTTTTTTTTATATTGAGTTACAGAGCTTTAATAAATAGCATACCACACAATTTGAAATTTTTATTATGTAGAAATACATCGAGATCGGTAAACCAAAAGGATCATTGTCAATTGTAGTAAAGAAAGACTGAAGGGTAGGTAGATAAAGCACGTATTTATTTAATTAAAAAAAATTACAATTTCGTTTTCATTATTTCCTTTAGATTTGAAGGTCTGGGGAATAATATTTTTATTTGATTGTAAGATTATATATGATAAATGATAGTCTATCGGTCTCTCTTCTTTTTTTGGAGGGGTGATTAAGGTTTGTATCAACATATGTTTGTTATATCTAATTTTATTTACTTTTTAAAAAAAATGACAAGAAAAAAAGCCTAAGCTACCCAAACTCGAAAATCCTACTCCTGAGGAAGACGGTGAGTTGAACATTTTTATTTTCGATACGTTTTTTAATACTGGAATTTGCAGTGTTCGACAGTATAGCAACAAAAATTGAGAAGGGACTAAGCAGCTTCCAAATGAAAAGATACATATTACAACTGGTAGCAAATAAATTACTGTCCACCCTTAGACTTATTTTCGTTTTGTAAAGAGGTTATAAAGCAGGCGACACATGCGTTCCATGGAACACTCTAGTTTTCGTAAATGACCAATGTTTTTAAAACAAGAAAGTTATAAAAATACCTCTTTCGCTGGTATTCCATGATATGTATGTAATATTCATTTCGGTTTCATTTTGCACATAGATCGATTCATTCATTGACTGTTGTGGTGTTTGCGCAAAGGTAGCATCTGTAATGAGGGAATAACATAGCAATTACATACCCTATCAAAAAACACTATAGTTACCTATTGTAAATCAAAGTGTCAAAGTTTTCACTATAGTAAATCAAAGTTTTCAGTGATCACTATAGTGTCATAGTTATCACTATAGTAAATCAAAGTTTTTATCATAGTAAATTAAAGTTTTCATAGTGATCACTATTGTAAATCAAAGTTTTCAAAGTTATCACATTAGTAAATCAAAGTGTCAAAGTTAACACTATAGTTAACTATAGTTTTCATAGTGTCAATGTTATCACTATAGTTTACTTTAGTTAATTTTAGTAAACTATAGTTAACTAAAGTATTTTTTGTTAGGGCAATGGTCACAAATTAAGAGTTAAATATCAGGAACATAATAACGCTCACATTTTATTAACAAAATAACAGTAACACAAATATCAGTTACATAACAGTAACATAAGAACAATAAAATAACAGTAACGTAATAACAGTTACATTATTGAAACGAAGCGACAATTCCCTGAACAGGAATGTTCACTTGTCTGAAGAGCAAGTAGAGGAGTGTCGCTGAATTTTTAGGTAATAATTAACATGTTTCCTTTTTGATGAAAATGAAAAGCAACATGTTTTCTTTTTGATGACGATGGAAATTTTTTAACAATAATTTCATTATAATATTATTTTCGTTATCAAAATTATTTGCATGTTTAATCAATTGGCAGAGATTATAAACATCTATGAGTGGCGAATATGTCAGACAAGCAGAGACATAAGTCATCATTATATTATTATTTATGATTGATTATCTATTTTACATGCTTAGTAGAGCATGTTGTGGCTCACTAAGGCTACCCTAGGAGCAAATACAAGCTTGCTATGGAATGCACTAGGAGCTTTTGTGAGGGATCTGTTTGGTATAACAGTAACCTCGTACCCCGTTCGGTATATCTGGTGGTTTTTATTTTGTCTTACTCGGTAAAGTGGCCATACCTGTTCGGTATAACAGGCAGTATCCTCGCTAAGGAATCTTAGGAGTCGAATAGTACATATTGTTACTCTTTGCTATGGATTACCCTACAAGACGAGGTACCATAACACCCGTTTCTAATTAGGTGTGTGGCACCTAATGATTGTTAAATGCTTCTCTTACATTTGTCATTCGAACAATTATTAAAGCTGTGGTCTTTATCATCCAAAACATGTACTGTTATTTCTTTTAAGAAAAATATCTATTAATTACATTTTAATATTATTTTTGTTATGTACTGTTATTTATTTTTAGGAAAAATATCTATCAATTAATATTATTTTCGTTATCAAAATTATTTGCATGTTAATCATTTCATCAAAGAAATGGAATTTAGCAGCTTTTTACAATAAACTCATAGTCAAATTAATTGCATCGTACGGAATACATTACATGTAGTCATGCATCCAGTCACAGGATCGCATATTCTTTCAAGGCAAATGCATTCGTCTTGGCAGCCTGCTCCATAATTCGGAAACCGGCAAGGGAGAGTGCAGTTTTGGCCAAAATACCCATCTGCGCACACTGTGAATAAATAAAATTGAGACTATCAATTTATCAATTTGACTTCTTTATATTTATAAGCATATTAGATTAAAATGAGGGAAATACAGACGAGGAATTTATTCGAGAGAGTTGTTCCTGCTTTTAAACAACAGCTGCACACTTTGAACTGTTGTCAAGATAAATTCGTTACTTCAGCGTTCATTTACAAAGCTAGATCAATACCAAAATAAATTTCTAAAATTGTATTTTATCAAGACCTCAAGTATATACAGGGTACGATCCACTGATATACTTTCATTGTTACTGAATATTTCAAAAAAAAATATCAAAAGGGGACAGTTATATTATTCACATATTAAATATATTCTCCAAAAATATGACAACGTAACAACAAATCAAAATGAGGCTCTAACATTTCTGCAAACATATCTCCTATTTAAAATGAAATGTCTTTTTAAACTTATTGCTGTTGCATTATTGTAATTGACTGTCCGAATTACAATAAAAACAGGACATGGGGCAACTGACATTTTTATGAATCTATAGACAAACAATAAATGTTTTATTCTAATGTATTATATATTTTCTAACGAAGATCAAGAGGTACTATTTTAATGTTCATATAAATTATGCAATGTGTTTTCATCTTAGTTAATTTGAAATACAAGAATTCAATTTACAGAGATAAATACAAAAATGTTAAAAAAGGAAATTTGTCTTACAATGCGATTCCAATGTAAGCATCCGGGGTAGATATGTAAAATAAAGAACCAGTAATGGTGTTTCTTTATGCCAATTCATCCTCAGTTGTCTTCTTCTTTTTTTTTTTTTTTTTTTTTTTTTTTTTTTTTTTTTTTTTGTTGTTGTGCAGGATATTCAATAAATAGCTGAAACTAAATGAAACCTTTACATTTCATCCCTTTAAAGGTGTTGTGATCCAAGTGTTTGAGGAATTAAAAAAAATCTATTTACTCATGTCTTGTTTGTCATATGTTGTATTTTTTCTAAGAGGAAATATATTCTATATTAGTTTTCTAATGTTTCCTTATTGATTCAGTTTGGATATTCAAATAAGACAATGCTAATAATAGTTTTTTCTTCAACAAATGTCTAAACGGTGACATTGCAAGTTTGAATTTAAAAAAAAGGTCTTGTTCTGTAAGATATATTTTATAAATATGTTTTCAATTTATTATTCAACTATTAGTGTCACATGATTGCTTTATGAAAGAAATTGAACTGTGAAATATCAAAGTTCTACAATTATAGTACAGTGTTCTATCCAGAACTTGCCTTGCCAATATCAGGTATTACTGATACTCTAGAGGTATAAGCAAGGTTTAAGCAATATTTTTGATTTCAGTAAAATACTGTTATTTAATGGATATTTTCATCCGCTCTTTTCTCTGGCAGAAGGGAAAGTGACAAATGAAAAATATTACAAATTAAAATGACAATAATCTATAATAAAATAATTACACGTATTTCTATTTCTCGTCTCAAAATCAAACTCTGCTAATTTTTGGATTGATCAATTTGATCATGACAAAGCGACCAGAACGAATCATGTGACCGAAAGACACGGGATGCTTATTACTCCATGGCATCTGATTCCTTTTCCGCTATTCTCAGAGGTCCGTGTTTGTACTGTTTAAGTTCACTTTAGAGCGTGATTACTGTTAATTTTCTGTCTTCACATTTTACGGATAAGAAAGCTAAAATATAAGAGACGAAGCATCTGTTTCTAATTTTTCAAGTCATAAAAAAGTTCCGCTTTTTCAAAAGCCCTTTTTAAGCGCAACATTTATATATTTTAAATTTGGTGTTTTCATTCAAGGGTATACAAACAGCATATGCAGTTTAAATGTTTACAGGAAGTAACATTGATGTACAACAATTTCCTTTTGACTATGGTAAAATGTACATGTAAATATAATTAGGGATAGCTAAATGAACCATCAATAATTTATTTTTTCAAAAGTATCGGGAACTAATTAAACGATTGAGGCTCTAGTGATATTTCATTTAATACTTGCATGCGTTACCTCTTCGATGTCTGAATACTAAATGCATCAGTAAAGTTGTAAAGCGGTTTTCAGCTGAATGCTATCTTTTGAGCTTGATAACTGTTCGTTATCTCCACATTTCATTAATACATTTTTCATTCAATTATATATAACTAATCAGATTGGACAGATCAAGAAAGAGTAACATTATTGATAGTATTAATTAATATTTTATCTTGAACTCAAAATTTCTCCAAATGAAATTGTGTAATGATTTAAAGTATTTAAAAAGAAAGGAAGCGTTTCTGCAGCATTTTGTTCAAAATATCACTTTTTGATGGCGTTACTATCATATTTTCCCGCATGCCGTTTGAAAGTTTAACTCTACAGAAATATATTTTGCTTTGTTGATCAGATGATTTCAACAAACTAGGTGAGGTTCATATTGTCGATAGACATACTTCCTCCAAGAGTGACATAATGTGTGTTACGATATAACCGATATTCTTAACATTGATCATCTCTTCATTCAACTACAAATTGTAACGAAAGAGGTAGAATAATAGCAAAACTATTAGAATACGTATTTAGCGACTCTTGTGTAAAGTCTCTTATATTTAAGGATGAATACGCATGAACGAAAATACTTTATATGATGTTTCATTTTCGTGTTTCAATTGTTGCAAATAATCTATGCTATACTATGCAGAAAATCTATAACACTGATACATGTACTATTGTGTCCATTTGTGATTAAGCTCTTCATTCACTCCATTGCAATGTCACGAATCCAAATTTATCAGTAATGGACTTTTTTTTTTTTTTTTTTTTTTTTTTTTTTTTTTTTTTTTTGAAGTATTAAATTCCTTTTATGTATGAGTGCATAGGAAAAACCAAATACAAAAATTGAATGAGTTCCTCTTTTTTAATCGGATAAAGGAGAAAGATACTTTAATATTTAGAATCTTCGAATTTAAAAGTGCATATACTAAGTACTTGTACTTTATTTAATCCAATACAATGATTATGTCTTTTTCAGTAATGGGACATCACTCTAATTCAGATATAGAATCCGAGAAATTACATCAAATATTTTCTAAGAAAAACAAACAAAAAGACAAATAAACAGGGGAGGAGAAATAAAAAAAACTACAAAAATACATTTGAAACATTAAATTTTATTTTTTCTATAATATACATAATTTTTAGCTACTTTATTTAGTCTTAGTTCAATATTTATTAAGTAATCAGGGAGCTTTGTGTTGTGGATGGATTGTAACATCTGGTAACAGTTCCATTTGCATTAATCCTATGTTCATAATTAATAATGTAAAATAGAATTATTAATAGAAAATTGCTTTTAGTGTTTTTGACGCAATAATCATTGTAAGAAGTCAAGCATGTATATACGTACAAGTATATTTATTTCTACAGGGAAATGACAACAAGATGTTTGCTTTAACTTTTATTTGGTGAACATTGGCCGTGGCATAGTATTTCGTGGGATGCCAATCCACACAACTTTTGGGAAAACCCACACAAATTCAACAAAATTCATCAACACACACAAAATATGTTCAAAAATGACCATCCCGGGTAAACCGCAGGTGGTTACTTATTTAAGGTTACTTATCTAAGTGTAAGTAGTTATATGCAGAATTTAAGCACAAAACAAAGTAGATCAACGTATAAGCAAATATTTTACATACAAAAAGGTTCAACACTTCAACCTCCTTCACAGTTCAATGGTGACTTAAATATATTTAAGACTGATGCAAAAAAATATCATACAAATATTATGAAAAAACTTGTTATAAAAATATTTAACCTACTTTGTGCCCAGCAAGTTGTTGAACATCAACAAGCTTCCCGACTTATATAACACGCAGGCCGATCCCGACCAAAATTAATACCTTTTTCCCGTAAAATAAAGTCATCGATGTTGTATGCATAAAATAGATGATAATACGTACAAATGATGTGTCAATTTTCAAAATTTTTAGGTTGGGGGGGGGATAATTTACATATTAAATATCTTTTCCGAATATACTGTGAAAATCAGTGTTGTTCACATTTGATTGCATAGTGATTCCAATGTGACTTAATAATTTCACTTTAAAAATCATATTGATTTGAACTGATATACATGTACAATCATACACAATCAGTTTTAATATTCAATATTTGAAACTCGCATAGCAAAATAAAATTATAAAGGTCATATGGAATTAAAAAACAAAAAATACAAAAAGAACAAATGATTGATTAAAGTTAGAATTCCTTTTTTTTCTCGAGAATAGAAGGTAAATGTAAAATGTATACTTATTAAGTTTATTTGGGTAAACGGATATATTTACGATTTGAAAGCACTTATTTTAAACATAGAAAAAAATATTGAACATTTATATACACAAGGCCATTAAATGAGCTTCGAACAGAAAGTCAAACTTTTTTTTATATGTGCATGTATCTACACATAAGAGGTGTCTGTTGAATCGATTCTGGCTACTCCTCGGAATTCGTCAGGTTTAATTAAGTACAGATCTAAATATTTAGGAATTTGCTTTCTTACAATCCCCGTCAGGATAATCAATAATAACGATGAACAGACTATTATGCCGATAAGCATCGATTTATGTCTTCTATCTAATAAAGTCCACATGGAAGGCTTATTTTTGGTGTCTAGAGAAGGAAACAAAATGGTTAAGGAATAGGAAATTGTAATTATAACATACTAAATCTACAAATTATGCGTTGATCTCAAGTATTGAATTCGCACTTATCTTAAACAAACACATGTTTTTAACACATGATGAATGAAAAACTACTTTTGATGGAGATAAGAGAAACTACATCTAGACGTCCACTCAATAAGGTTTTCTCAGACAACATATTTATAAACTGAATATTTTAAAGATAGACAGAAAAAATAATTGCCTTTTTCTATATTCTGTATTTAATTTGATATAAAAACTATAAATTGTAACACCGGATCACCAAATTTGTGTTTAGTGTTTGATAACATTTGTTTCATTGACAACTTGATGTTATATGTATCGCGTCGTAAATTCTCATTTCAAACTTTTCTTCTATAGAGAATATTAAAGCTAACAACTTAAATATAACATATGTATCAAAAGCAAGATTTCTCAATTGATATTCTAACAAAATTTATAACCCACCTTTTTGAAATATATCCACCAAATCAGAGAAAATATAAACTATTTTGCTTTCATTGATTGGCATATCTGTATTATTGAACAGAGACAGGGTGCTCTGCATGATAGTCGTTTCCATGGTCGTTTCTGGGAAAATATAATGGTGAAATATAGAATATTTGCGACATTTATTAAAAATGTGAATATACTTTGAAATATAATACAAATACAGAATAAAAATTCAAATTATATTCACAATTATTAAATTATTAAAAGAGGCTGTACAATGCTTGGAAGATCTGGACACAGAAAAATGTATTTTTTTTAATAACCAACAAATCGATAAATCACTGAACGATATACATGTAAGTAACTGGTAATTAAATTTTCGAGATGTTTAATTATATTTTGTGGTCATCTGATATGCAGCTGATAATAATTATTTTTCTTTAAATTACAAAAATTTGTTACCCTGACATCCGGATATATGGTTACACATTTCCTCCATGCAGCGACAAGGTTCCTGGCAACCTGCCCCATAATTAGGATATCTACATTTCCTTTCACAGTTAATACCAAAATAGCCATCCGAACAATCTAATAAAATGAGGAACAGCCTAAACTGATAAGTGACAAATTACACTTTGTACCACGTTGGGAGATTAAGTATTACTAGTGTATTATCGATATTGTTGGTAAGGCTATCCCATATAGAGCAAACACGACATTTCATGGGACTGAAAATAATATAGTGACTGTCTTTATAATAAGGGAACTGTTGGTGTAGTTTTCCATATATCAAGGTGAAATTTTTAAGTTATCGATATTGAATATATCTCAATCGGTACATACATGTATAATATTTAAAATATCATTGCGTGTGCTAATGAGATAAGTAGCAATACATGAAAGAAATAAAAGGAAGGTAAAAAGCGACTACGAAATCGTAAAAAAAATATGTAAGGCATTTTATCAGATAATCGGTAATAAATATATAAACAAGACAAAAAATATTCATGTACCTTTGACATTTTGAACCAAGGACAGCTGCAACGTCCATAAAAGCAACCATAACATGGAGAAAATGTAAATTCAAAAGTCCCGTCCTATTGTTGTATTCCTTATGATTAGATATTATGTTATAATTGATAAATTTCAATTTGATCTTGTAAATATAATTGTTTCGATTGAAATACATAGGACCGGAACAGGGAAATTTACAAATCGGAAATTATTACAGTGTATTCTATCATGATATGTTTTCAGTCAAATTGAGCTATAAATTTTTATATTTGAATTTATAAGAAAGGTCATTATAGATAATGTTCGAGATGAATGTTGAAATGAATCAAAACTCAAACTGAAGAGAAAAATATGTACATATGCATATGTACGTACATTTTCAAAAGTTTGAAAAAAAAGTCGATACGAAACATTTCCTGGTTACTTACTGCAAAAACATACACATGTAAGTAGATTCCTGAAGCACTTTTTTAGCTCTGCAAATTAAGCAAATTATCTTCATATGAAAGCATTTTCTGACTACGCTTGTATTGTTTGGAGTTTTAAATTTACTCATTTACGGTCTATAAATTTTCAAAAGGGACATGGCTATTTTAGCGGACCTGGAAGCAAGGCTTATTAACCCTTTGGAATTCTGTTGTTCTTTCATAAGAAGAGAGAACTGTTATTCATGAATATAAGATATCCCCATTCATGGCGATGTATTAATTACAAATCTAGGACTAGCAACGTTAGACTTACTCCTGCAGCCTTTGTGTACAAAGTTTTTTACTGACTATGCTTGTAAATTAACAGAAAAAGCGAAGTTGGTATTCCCAATGGAAGAGCTTCCAACCACTGAATTGCGGTCTATATATAAATTTTATCGCACACACCTCGTTGTGTGGCATAAGAAAAAAATTGAACATCTGTTATAAATTCAAATCTATATAATTCTAAAAATTAGCTTATTTATACATTTTGCATTCGTAAAATAGTGTATATTGTTTCTTCATACATCTACCAAATCATTATCTATATTAAAATATAGTCATATTTTTTGTCCGTGTGCTTATTATAACGAAATTATATCATTTTTCAATAAACTTTAGAGACAATCTTCGTAATTACCTTATGCTTTATTGACCTGATATCTAGCGAATACGGAGAACTGGTAAGCTCTGTAAACATTCTTTTCTTCAAAATTTTTTTTGTACTTCTTTCATGTACATCTCTATGCTTATTTGCAGCAGTGTTGTCGGACAAAAACAAATTAACTTCGGAATCGGTATTTGGAAATCCTTCACAGAAAATCTGTTGAACTTTCCTCAATGCTATTATAAAAATTACCATTAATAATCCTTCATTTGGGTGTAGGTTCGTAAATTATCGGACCTCTTACCTGTATAAGATATATATTTGAAGCTCTGGCTTTTCTTTTCAACATTTTATTATTGTTCTTCCTTTTGAGTTGTAAAAAAAAGTGCACAAATGTCTTGACACCTGTCACTCTAGGTTATCATACCTTATTTTGCAATAATGCTTTTAATACACCTTTGGCAAATTTAACGCATGTTTTCATCTGTTAGGAAATCGTAAATCTGGTATTACAGATATCATTTTGCACACCCTCTACTTTGCTGATGTCTCTGCAGATTTTGATTATTCAGTTCCACTGCGATCTTGTAACACTCTTCTTCTTCTTCTTTTCTTTTTTTTCTTTTTTTTTTTTTTTTTTTTTTTGCATTTTTTAAATCCATTTAAACACTGTTTAGCATGAAAGTTATCTTTCCAGATTCCAAAACAACATCTTTCATATTGATTCTTCAGAAATTTTTGTAAGAAAGCACCGTTTATATATATATACGCCCTCATTTTCATCTTAAGAAAGACTATTTTTAAAGAGTTTTCAGCTCAGAATAGTAACCATGATCACTTTAAAGTTTATTTCTTTGTAAAGACTGTAGGAAAAAAAAAAACACTCGGTTTTCGGTGATTATGAGTTCGTAAATAGTTACTGTAATTAAAAAAAATTAAAAAAAAACTTTTGTGCTTCTGCGTTTATTCTGATAAATCTATGTTGCATAACTTATTGTGAGACCCTCGTACCTCTTATTTATAAATTGTCATCGCACTTGTGAAGTTTCCCTGTCGTTTGTTTATATTTTAGAGGATTTTTAACAAAAAGAAAAAGAGATAAGTAAAGGTTAATTAAAAAGACAACTTCCATCATGCTCCCAACGGAAGAACATCCAGTGAAACAAATTCATAATTATATGCATGGATTCAAGTTTTTAATTTATAGTTGAATACTTAATTGTTAATAAACTTAATATTTACAAACATAATGATGGTTTATTCCTTCACAAATCTGCCGTTTCATTTGACTCCTCTATCTCTTTACACCGTGTTTTCTTACAACGATAGTAGTGCACACTTGCTCGCTTTTTAGCAGACTTCTTTATGTAAATAAAATTTATAATGAGGAAAAATGCTGACACTGATAAACATTGATTTTTGCTTCATATCAATGTCTGTCCACATTGAAGAAATTTCTGCAAATATATAATTCAACGTAAGGACATTAAAATCTGATGTTTGTTGCATAGGAATCAGTGAATATTGTAAGAAGGTAAAATCAAATAATACTTGATAGGAATATACAAACGACTTGTTTAGAAAACAAATATCCATCCTATAATCCCATCACATAACTTGGCTTTATGGTAGAGTGCATTTTTCAAAATAATATTTAAAAAGATGCAACAATGATGTTTAATCATGAGAAGAGAAGGACTTTGTTGGCATTGTATTTTGATTTATAACAAAAATGCTGTATCTTGTATTATTTATATCTTATAAATAACATATTTTCTTTAAAACAAAGCAAGACAAGATGAAGTACATCTAAATTAGTATTCTTGAAAATGGGATTTAATATTAATCTTTTCTTTCCGTACAAAACTGGTAGTATTTGATGAAATATACCGAATTTTCAATCTTGGTTTCTTCCCGCAGTACAGTTGAATCATCAGATGTTGCATTAACTTCATCTGTAAAAATGAGGAAAAAGAGAAAACAGAACGTAGCGTACTCATGACGTGCATACCATGTTAACTTTTTCCATATGAACTATTAGATCTAAATTTATTATCCAGAGAAGAATGAAGTTGGCATTTAACATTTATTGAAAATACATTGATATAAACCTTGCTATATTGTAGACGAGCTTCGTACTACTATAGTAAACTCATTTTTTTCTAGCGAAAGAAAACCATCAACCTTTATAAAGAAACTTTTAAAATAAAGCCTACGCTACCTGGATTCCTACATCTTGTTGTGTGATTACAAGTTCTTCGTCACATTTGCACTCCATTCGACATTCTTCTCCAAAGGGAGTAACCAAAGGGATAGCTCCTAAAAATAAAAATGATCACTCAGCAATGCATTCTTATCTTATATTTCTGTTGAGCAATTATAATGGTATTAAATAAGCAATGCATGAAGGCATTCTTCATGTTTAGTGAACAATTTTACAAAGTTGGCACTGAATTCCTTACTGGATAAATTCCATGTGCATAGTAATGTCAAAACTATGAAGCTTTGAAATGTATACTTACAATTACCCCTTTTCGAGTTTTTATCCCACTTATATTCATCACAGCATGAGTCTTGAGAAGTTATGCTCTAGTAATAAATAGAAATAGGTTAAAAAAAAGATGTTTGGAAATTATATCGTTATGTTATTAATAGATAAGATGTAATGCATTTTTTATAATGATACATATCGTTCAAGTCAAATTTTGAATCCTCTGCAGGTATCCAGGAAATATAGATAGAACAGGTTACACACATAAGAGTAAGGGAAGCACCAATTGAACAATATAATTATGTTAATCCTCATTCTTGTACAAATTTTAGTCTAACTCTCTACAGATTAAACATTTATCAATACATAGAACTATTGGATTTGGTCAGATGCGCATTATTTATACTTTAGGAAAGAAATTCAACTGGAAATTACATTGGTATTTTATGAAAAAGGAAAGTAAAGCATTTGCACCTTGCAGTGCCTGTTACATATAAATTTGTTTTTGAGGACATGGATTAAGTACAGAAAATACTTCCTTGTGTGGGTATTTATGTTTCCCTATCAATGGAAATGAAAGTCAAACCCTTGTATTTCGTATAGCCTTTTTCTTTTTTTCCCTCTTTTGTCTAAATATTTTACCTCCATTTCATTTCAAAATATTTGTTAAAGTTAACAAGATTTACAATCATTTTTCCCATGTTAAGTCGATTTTAGGACACTCATTTATGAATGTATAAAATATGCAGTATTTTTGTCATAAAAAAATCTCAAAATATGTAGACAGTAGTTAAAGAAGAAACGAGATTTGCGTAACAGATCCATCAAAACGCATTAATTTCAAATAATGCATGAATATTTTGAAATTGTACTACTTCATCGAACAACAACGGCGAATCGGAAAAAAAGTGGCACTGAGTTACACTGGTACACTGAGGTGGTTTCTGGGGCAAGAATAATCAATGATTAGCTCTTCATTTTCAGGTTTGTACTGAAATTACTGAATATCTTATTTGATACTGAATAGCACAAGGGTTTATATTATTGGTATTGAGACGTTCCGAGTAAGGATACTGATCTGATACTGTGTGGCTCTCGGTGTGTTCCAAGACTACTGAGATGATCCTGGGAGTTACTTGGGGATACTGAAGTGTTCTTCCAAAGTTTGTTATTAAATTAATTTTATCTAGGGATTTTTTTTTACATCGTAAGTACCTCCTTCAGTAGGCCAAAAAACCATTTAAAATAACAGATTTTGTACAGTCGTATCAGGCAATTGCTGAGGAAATATAAATAGTAGAATTTTCTTTCAAGACAAAAATATACCTGTAATCTAATTGACAAAGCACAGGAAAAGGCTAGGGAAACTCCAGTTACATTAAGTTCAGAATACCTTAAAAATTTTAAGAAATTTCTTTTTATCTAAAAAAAAAAAAAAAAAAAAAAAAAAAAAAAAAAAAAAAAAAAAATTCTCATTGAGATTTATGTGGATTTCTCTTATTAATCACGGATCAGTATGAGGCTCAATGTATCTTTTAAAAATCAATTGTGTAACTTTTATTTTAGCTATTTTCAGTTATTATTTCAACTTGCAGTTTATGCATAAACATTATCTGGATATTAATTCGGCAATTATAGCCTTGTCCCTGAGATTTCTAAATCTTTATTTGCTTTGCTTAGTACTACATATACATACTGTGGAATCATCATTGTTCGTGGAGGACCAGTGTTTGTGGATTATATGTACGTGGGTCACCCTTCCCCGCGAATTTACATCACCACGAACGTTTACTTTGTAAAAATTTTGTTTGCCCACGCACTTTGACCCCCACGAATTAATATGATTCCAGAGAAACCAAATAGACACCTTGGATTCCTTTGGTTGAGTATATCAACAAAATTGTAAAACAGAAAAAAATGTACGTTCTGTTTCTGAGTGAATGATTTTTAACTGGTAAATGTTACAAAGAATCATATCTCATTACGTTACGAAAAATGAATGCATTTCAAATGAAAGTTAAGTACCATATACCATATATAAAGCAATTCAATAGAGCATGCCCCTTTTTACTCTCTTCTTCTTGTCCTTAAATTTGTCCAACTGATATGATCATTCACGATGGGGTATTATGAATAAAATATTTTCGGTTAATTTTGCAAAATTCTACTTCATTATTTTTTCAAATGTTTCCTCAATCACTACTATTCACAATAGAAATATGGTACATTAAATGAATTATTTTTAATCATTTTCATTTACTTTTTAAATTTGAAAAAAAAATGCTTGTTAAAAGTTTGCCTAATATATTATCGCATATGTTAGCTTGTCTCTTATATGCACGAAAAGAGCATGCCCCTTTTTACTCTCTTCTTGTCCTTTTATTTGTCCCACAGATATGATAATTCACGATTGAGTATTACGAATGAGATATTTTTGGTTACTTTTGCTAATATATTATCGCATATGTTATCTTGTCTCTTATAAGCACGAATAAAAATAAAAAAAAAAATATCTCAAAACTATTAAAAAAAAAATGTTAGAATTAACGAGACAAAATTGTAAAACGAATAAGATTTTGTTGAAATGATGCTGAAATATAATCTTAAATTAACAAGTTAGTTTAAGGATTTGATAAATGATGTGTAAAGATGGCTTATTGGTAGCTCTGACATTAAGCTCCTAGAAGCTGCAGCTTAATTGTGGCTTAAGGTAGCTAAGGACACCTGACCCAAAAAAAACCTTCCAATAGATTTTGCTGAAATTTTCACATGGCATAAAGGAATATGTAATGGACATTTAGTGGAAATATGAACATGGCATTGAGGGTAAATTATCGAGCTACGGGGTGATGAGTTACCTCCCCTTTCCCCTCAATCTAAAATTCAGTATCCAACATAAAAAGACCCATAAAAAATTTATTATACAATATGCAAGCATAATTTAAAATTATTTCCAAACAAAAGTGATATTATAAACTTATTTCAACAATAGATTGCTTGAACAGAAATATAATAAGAGAACGGTGCACATTATAATGTTTAGATTGAACAAATCCGACTATTTTCATCCATACAAATTATACCATTTTTCAGACATAAAAAAATATCTGTCCAATAGATTTTTAATTTTTTATTATTACAAGAAAGATAAGTCCAATACAGTTCCTCACTCAAAAAATCTTGACCACATTGAGGGCAAATAAAGACAGCACATGGTCCACTGACACCCCCCCCTTCCTTGTTTTCCAGTCTTGAAAAAGAAGAATAATGATTGACTTGCTATTTATCACAAATCAAAGTGATTTTATGAAAAATATAATTGATGGAAGTAATTATTAGTTCAAAGCAATGTGTAATAATGATAAGTGAAAATATGAACTTGGCAATGATGATTACCAGGTAATTATCAAGCCATGGGGTGAAGAGTTACCTCCCCTTTCCTCTCAATCTAAAATTTATTTTCCAACATAAAATGTACTCAATAAAAATTTATCATTATTCATTACATTTTCTTGGTTGTTAATTAAGAGAAAACATTAGTATGCAATGGAAAATTTCACTTTATTTGATTTTTTTCCACATTGAGGGCAAGTAAAGACGGCACATTGTCCCCCAACCCACCCACCCACCAATTCCTTGTTTTTCACTCCTGAAGATACAAATAATGATTAAACTCTAAATACCCACATTTTCAACATTTATCTTATTTTATTGCCACATAAAAAAATAATTATTATGTAAAAATATATTAAATATATGTGCTCGTTTCTTAGTCAAAACAAAAGCAAGCTATTTGACATATCATTGCACAATACACATACTTAATTCTGTTGCATGAATATCATTGAGAAATCTTTTAAATTGAACAAAAGTAATTCAAATGTAATTTTACTATTATATGCATTACTGAGCTGGTTTGATAACAATATAAAGTCAAGGTAACTCACACAGGAAATGAAACATGAAATTTAAAAAAAAAAAATTATACATTTCTACATGTGGAGCGGCCCATTGCCGCATCCGACTGAAAACTCACATAACAAATTAAACATGACATTTGATAAAAGAAAATAAGGTCTACATGTGGAGCAGCCCATTGCCTCATCCGACTAAACACTCACAAAAAAATTAAACATGAAATTAAAAAAAAAAAATAACAAAGTTCTACATGTGGAGAGGCCCAATGACGCATCTGACTGAACACTAGCACATCAAATTAAACATGAAATTTGAAAAAATAAGGTCGACATGTGGAGCGGCCCATTGCCGCACCCGACTTAACACTCACACAGCACAAAAAAAAAAACAAAACAAAACAAAACAAAAAAAACGGAAAAGACAAAATTTGTTTAAACAGTTATAATCTATTGAAGTAACAATCACAAATATCTTTATACACCTGATTTGATCTGGGTAGCTATGTATTTACATGTTAATAATCAGAAAAATTTATGGATTATACATGCAAATTTTCTCTCACAGTTTTAAATATTACATTTTCCATGAGGAAACAAAGAATTGCAAATTGCATGAGGTTCCAATTAGACTAGTTTCACAATATTATACCACTGAACTTTATGTCAAACCACTGAACACTTTTTCACTGTGTTACTCTTCCTGTTTCTCAAAGTATGCATGAATGCGTTTTGACGTTTTTGCATTAAAACCATGTTCTGATAACACAGACTTTACTCCTGTATCATTGTCTCTGTGGTATGCCAGGTAGAGGTGTCCAAGTCCAAGACCAGAATTGGCAAGTTTTCTAGAATTGGCATTTGAAATCAGCTTTCTTTCAACAACTGGCCCAAATGATTTCTGCAGAGCATGGAAATTGAAAGGAAAGGCATCTGTTTCTCTGAATGTAAACTTTGATACAAAAAGCTCATGAAGAGTTTTAACATCAGCAAGAGCATCATGCGCTTGATAGGATTTCCCTAAAAGAACCTGCACCAGGGTCTGCTGTTTGTAATTTCCCACAGTCTCCTTACTGAACAATTTACGTGCAAGTCTAAGTGTGTCTAAACAGGCATGGACATGGAGAAGAAATTCCTGCAAAAGATTGTGAACTTGGAGTGTCTTGCAGAGAATTGGAATGTCAAATGACAATATGTTATGTCCCACAAGAATTGTTTTCTCACGCTTACTGAGATACTCTATCATTTTTAGGAGACCAAGTCTAATATCTACGCATTCTACTTCTCTTCCTAAGGAGAACATGCATCCAAGGTCAAAGTCATACTTCAGTCCTGTGATTTCACTTGCTTTCTTTGTAATTTGCTGAGAAGGAGAAACATAAATATTGAACTCTTCTTTCCCATCAAAAGCTGCTAGCTGGATAATATCACTGCTGCGAGACAGTCCTGTAGTTTCCAGATCAAAGGCCACAATATTTTCTTCGCCATTGAATTCACGCTTACCGGGTATAGTTTCAAGGTCACAAGAGTTGACTTCTGATGTACTGATGCATGGCTCATATGTTTTTCCTTCCTTCAGGCAGTTTGTTGATTCTCTCTCGTGTTTTCTTTTCTTAAAGAGGAAAAAAAAGTATACAAGAAATGATTGTAGAAGATATGTCCTTTTCTCCCTTTGAAAAAACCCGACTGTGATCTTGAACATATATACACTTATTTGCAAACATTAAGGATTAT